AAATCGAAGCCTACTGCGAGCCGCTGAATATATTCATGTACATGAAACCGGGTCTGCATCTCGGAAGTCGCCAGTCTGACTATGGACGAGAAGGATGAGCTCCTCAGTACGGCCAGTAGACTCTCGCGATCATTCGACATCGAGGGCGTCGGGGGCAGTGTTAGTTGACAATGCCTCCGCCCAGTATCACACGGCTTGTCCAGTACATCGGACAAGGACCTACACGAGGCTCCGTCACGATCAAGCTACGTACACAATACTACCATTGTAAGGTAGTGAGGAGAGCCACCAAAGCCTGACTAGTGAGCTCCGATAGCTTACAAGTGGGAACCTGATGACATAATCTGCTGCCCAGCGACAAACAGAGGGAGCCGACGACCTGCAAGAATTGGCAAACAGCTAAGATTAACGCCGCGGGTGGGGAATAGCCCAACTTATACAAAGCTTGGAGCACCTGAATCATCGAGCAAAATATATGAGAACAATACCATGGGCTACCTACATTAACGACAGCACCGGGTGAGCATACCATATATTGCTGTTGTTGCTGTTGATTAACTTTACCACCAATACCACTACAAGCACTCAGCGAGCATCTACTGCTACTAGCGGACGACGACGACACTATAGACGCTTTCGTGATTGGAGACGACGCTCTGTTGCTCGCCATTACCCCAACATACATTGGGGAGATCGATGGTGATACTCCTGAAACATACCAAGTGCTAAGGGATCCACGCCAGTTATCAGCACCTGCACTACTAGGGGCTGTTGACCCAATAGAGCTCCTCTGTGCCATGAGCAGTCTCTCTGGGGACTCCGAGTCGCGTCCCATCGCCTCCCACACTCCCCCGCCGTTCACATGGCCAGGATGATCACACCAAGTGAGCGTTCCCTCACTAGTTGAGCATTTACACATCGTAAGGTGGACAAGTTGATCAGAAAGTCTACTGCATAGTCGGGCCAGCATATCCTACCGATAGGCCTCCACCATAAAAAGTCATCGCTAATACTACATCATTGCGATAGGACAAGAGCCCCAGAGCACACACCAAGTTGCAGACGTCCAAGGAAGTAAGTTGAATAGTGAGATAATCACGTTTTTGCAGACCACCTCCCACACATCCATCACAAACGAGCGCCGCACAGATCGCCTGAGACGCTCTCTGGTGATGATGAACTACTAAAACCTACCTCCAGACAAGCGACGTCGCGGTGCTGTAGTCTACCCAAGGCCAGGGCGATGTTAGTGAGCGCACTAGCCTTGTACTTGTCCGAATTGGAGGCTACATGACTGCATATTGCCGTCATAAAGAACTCGACATTGGAATGCTGTGGCGGCTCCCATAACAACAAACCAAACGAATATCTAAAAATAACGACGATTATAATACCATAAACTCGCCACATTACACGATGAGCGCAATATCCCCCGGTTTGAAGTCCCTCAAACGTGGAACTGATGATGCAACTGAAGAACCGTAAACTAGAGTAACTCGACAAGCAACACTCGCCTTACCAAAAGCGTTCGAACTTCTTTGGCCGATGCTCATCGTCGGTGACGCTTCCGAGTAGCTACTGCTCACAAGCTTATTGTAGCCACACAGAGTTGGAGACGATAAAATGCCATTAACCACCTCAATGAAGAAGGCCGTGTGGACCTGACCAACCCGAGGCCTGATGCGACGGACAGAGACTATAGCCACTTTACATATCCTAGTGTTGCATAAGCATGCACGACACTGGCGAGCTCCTGAGACTTGAACGCATGCAGTCTGTGACACATGATAGAACCAAAGGCGTCGAGGAGTGGATCGTGCCGTAGACTGCCAAATGAATGCAATATGCAAACACTGAGGAGTGCCAGCAGTCTACTACCTCAGTTTGGCGAATGCTACCAGAGTGTTAGCGAAATCTTGGGGCGTCGAATACTGCGAGAACTGATCTAACGAGCACAGACGCCCGACAACGTGATCTGCAATAGCGTTCAGAAAGGCTTCATGACGGTACCTTCAGAAAATTCATAAGCTATAGCAATCTCCACAGACACGTACCCTAGGCCCCCCAGAGCGAACATCGTATTGGATATTCCCTGCATGTTGAACTCATGTAAGCGCGTTATCATATTCTCACACACCTCCACACATAAAGCTTCGCACCTGGTACACCAGAATCAAATCCCAAGGACCAACAGGAGGCAATAACACTACTTGAAATGAACCTTAGCGAATGCATACAGAGTATTGGAAATGTCCTGGCTCCTGCACCGACTCATGCCACGAGCGATCATTTCATCAGCCACCGATTGGCTAACATACAAAGCCGTTCAACTCAGCCTAGTCGACGACCACCCTACAACAGAGGGTCGCTCTTGTATGATAGCAGAGCACAACTGTAAGCGACATTCGACATTTCCTGTGCTTTGAAGTTGTTAATGCATCTGAAAATGATGCATGGGGTGATACCAAAGCCTAACACGCAACCTACCCGGGTATATACGACGCCACACTAGCAAGGAAACTGTCATCCCTATGGCCGAGCCGAGCCAGGGCATACCTAGAGGGAACAGTACTACAAGTGGGAGTAGAATACACTTACACGCAGTTGGAAATCTCTTGTGGTTTAAACTCATTCAGGCGCGGGGGTATATGCTCACAGAGTCGATCGAGTAGCAACCTGCTAGCCACCATCATCATCACAACTACTAACATGTGAATAACTACACCACCTGCGACGGTCCCCAGAACTGCAGCGGAGAAGCCCGAAGGCGTACAAACAGTTGGAGACGCCCTGAGTATCGAAGGCCTCCAAATTGGCCAACATATACCTGAATGATATTCGAGTAAGCCTATCACCAATACACCCCAAAGTCTTACTCCGTGACGATATCAAGGATTCCCTCATCGGTGTAGTTGAGCTTGCTGAGCGCCCATGTGATGTTACTCACAGCTCTGGTAGTGGCACCCGGTAGCAGCACTCTAGCCCGCTCGACAAGGCGGACGAATCGGGCATCCGACGTCACATAAGTAGCCCTACGACCAACAACAATACCACAACTCTGTCAACAATGGTCAAATACATAACACTAGCATTGGTAGCTCCTTCAGTCGGCCTGCCACCACCCGTCTTAGTAATCGCCGTGGCCAACCTGAGAGTAACCGATCCTCGACCATTTCCATGCAACCCTCTCACCTATGTAAAGCCGTACTTGTGTGAATTTCGTTGAACTCTATACCATCTCGTTGGAACTCATCAAACACGCTCAGTATCTCGGTGATAGTGCGACACGGGTCGCGATACCTGAGGACAGCGAGTCGACCCAAAGCTTGACCAAATGGAGTCTTCCCACATATTAGCAGCCTGCATGATTCTCTGTTGAATGGCCATCTGTACACGCTTAGAATTGCCACCTCCATGGGGCTGTTGTTGGTGATCCTTACGGCCATGGACAACAGCTGCTGATGCCGACGACGACCCGACTTGACGCTGGTGAGGACCTGTTGCGCTGTACGACGATGCATGGCTAGAAGTAGGGGAGGGAGCCTGATAGCAAACCTAATAGGGGAAGGGTAGGAGTCGATTCTAACCTGTCTGTAACAGCGATGATTATAGCGATCGTCCCTGTAAGTGTACTGGTTGTTGTGGCAGCCTCTTCCTCCGCGGGCACCCCAAGACGTCGGTGAATCGGCGCTGGTCGGACTGGTAGTAGGATCAGCCCGGCCAGCGTTCGGAGTGGTCATAGTGGTGAATGTGGGGGGCTCCGGCAGGAGGGACCTAGACAATGGTTTAGAGATAGTAGTAGTGGTGGGAGAAGTAGAGGGAGGAGGAGGAGGAGCAGGCATGAATGCTGGGCAACAGCAGCAACTTGAACGGAAGGTAACAATGCGGTACAACCTAACCATTAACAACGTTATCCATCCAGACGAGTAATACATGGAACATAGTCCCATCTGTCGATACGAAAAAAAGAATTAATTTTCAGGGTAAACTACACTTGGAAACCGATCAATACACCGATTACTTACAACAATTGTTTCGTTCAACATGAGGTCGGGCAAGTTCGAATCAAAACGCACTTTTCGTGCAATATGCAGGAACAGCGCAAACTTGAGAAATTCCAATTCCAGCGTGAAGTTAATCATTTCCCCATGCCCCGTAAATCGCGTGGCAATACCCAAGAGCTGTCCTCAGCCACTGACGTAGTGTCCAGAATCATGTCCCGATCGAATGGGATGAAGCAGGTAGTCCTTAGTTAGCTCTAGAACCCCCCTCTGTAGAATTGTCGGCATGTTAGGATCGGAGTGGTACGGATAAGCCCAATAGCTCAGCCGCCTCCCTCGCCAGCCTACCGCCTCCCACAGACTTCTGGGATGATGCCAACAGTGACGATGGTGAGTAGTGATGGAGCAATCATAACAAGACCGTTTGTATTTCAGTTAGAAGGGAGCTCACTAGCTGGGGGCTCTCTAGAGATACCTCAGCCGGAGCCCAACGACGTGAGGTGAGCGACACGCCTGTTCCCTCTGCCATTGGTGATGATGATGAATTGTGTATAGCGTCGGGCCCCCGGAGTGCATGGAGCTAACAGATCTTATCTGAGGTCCAGCAGTGGTCCTATCATGGGCTCTAAGGTAGTTTGGCAGCACACATCTTGACCCTTTCCTAATCACTATCACTCAGGTACCACAACAGGCCTCCTACCGGTCGACTACTACTCGTCTGCAGTCTTCCTGGGGGTCCAGCGCGGCGGCGGCCACCACTACTACTAAAAGCAGTGGTGACAGTTTTCCTGGCAATCTTCGATGGAGTAGTTATGGCAGCAAGCGACTCTCTGATAGTAATAAAAAGGCAGGAGCCTCGGGGAGGTCGGGTCTAAGCTCAGCGACAGGAAGTAGTAATAGTAACAAGCTGAGGAAGGGTAGCGAACGATGGAGTGCTAGTAGTGTAGTAAGGTTGATTCTCAACTCCAACGAGGGCCGGTTCAACAACGGTGACGACAGCAATAGATCTGGGAGCCTCGAAGTGGATATGAGGGCTCTGGAGGAGCTAAGCTCGTCCAGCAACACTACTAGGAGTAATTTAGTGAAACACTCTAGCGAGTATTCGGGGTCTAGTAGCGATACGGGCAGCTCTGGAGCGTTCTCGACTCGGCAGTTGGAGGTGGCGGAAGAACAGCCTAATGGGGAGGGTAGGAGGAGTAGACCTGATGCATCGAGGGCCAAGAAGTCACCACGCACTGAGGAGGAGGAGGAGGAGTCGTTGTCAGTGAAGGAGAATACAGGTGAGGTTTTCAGGTTGAAAAAATGGAATGTGAGAATTCTGAGTAAATTCCTGTTGGTTTATCAACATTTTTACCCAAATTCGCATATAAATTCCTGAGCTCAGCTGAGGAAAGCGAACATATACTCCCCCAACACTAGGAGCCGACGGATGGCTCTGTCTTGGGCAGATTCTGAGGCCGCGTCGCTTTCGGTCCCTATAGACGAGGAGGAGGAGGGGAAGACAGCTGCATCCAATTCGAGGAGATCTCAGCTGAATAGGCTTTCACGAAGGGATAGTGATGGGAATTCGAGTCGGAGAAATTCACCACAGTCGGGGAGGCGACACTATGGGGTTGGTATAGAAGTTCTTCCACCGGATGTTAGGCGCCAAGTGAGTTCACGTGTTGGCTGCATCGGCAAGGCAACATGTTGCATAGGCAACTGAATGCGCTCAGATTTATGACTCTCATGCTGCCTATGGTTCATCGGAAGGGCAGAGCCGAACTGAAACGCGTGTTGGTAGATCGCCGGGGAGCAGTGGACCTTCGGAGACTTTTCCTAAGCTGGATATGAGGCCACCGTGGAGGATTGGGGCTGCAAAAGTGAGTCGCGCATATGATGTCTTTAGCAGGGTTTGAACCAGGGTGGTTTATGTGAAAGACACGTACTTTAACCAATTACACTAGGAGACATTCTGTCTTTTAGGCTTGTATACCAGAGGTGCCTCCACCAGTGGTTTCCCGGGCTACTCATCCCCGGACCAAGACGAGGTTCATTTCTCCTTCCAACCCTTCCAAAGAACTCAGTCGTTGGGATTGTCTAGCGGCTGGGTATTCCTCTGAGGGCCTCAAACATAAGCATCAGCATCATAACGATGCTTATGGCAGTAACAAGGGACATCACTACTACGACTCGACGTACTCTGCTGGTTGGGAAGAGCACACTGCTCGCGACTCTGGCGAGACCAACGATTCACCCACAGGGCAGCAGCAGCAGTCATCCTCGAATTCCGGGAAGGTGCAGATGTCACAAGAAATTCCCGCAATACCAATTCCCTCGGGGGCGGGCTCCTCCTCCTCCGTGTCTACGTGGAATCCAGTCCCTGGGGGCGCCCCTGCAGCTGCTGTAGTTGTATTGAATCCAGAGGCTCTCCGAGAGCTCTCCTGGATAGTCCCTAGTGGCGGTAGTAAGGGTGCGATGTTCACGGTCGATGATGATGATTGTATTGTCTCAGGTGTTGAGGATGGGTCGGTTACGATGGTGCAGAATGCTGCTGACTTGTGGCAGATCATTTCCAAGAATGCTACGCAAAAGCACATAGTTAGTACTGGTAGTGGACCAACACCGAGGGTCCAAGGGGGAATCTCTGATGGTGAAGTGCTTCCCGAGGGTCGAGGGGAAGAGTTGTCCAAACCGAAAGGGAAATGGTCACTGTTGGCCTCTGGGGAATCTTCCCAAGGTGTGGTACTCAAACACCATCATCACTCGCATGAGGAAGTGCACCTAGCTGAGGTCGGTCTCGTCTGGTGTCCGCCCGCATGGCTTATTTTTCATCTCAGGCGATTCCACTTGGAATGCCTACGGATAAGGGACCTGACCACGAACAAGTCCTTCTACTCTCCCCCCGGCAGCAGCAGCAGTCCACGACGGGTCGGGACGGGGACTGCCAGAGTGTAGGAAAAGTGTTGTTGGGAGTTCATTTCGTGTTCTCCTTCCCAATGGAATAATTGGTTCGTATCGTGTCGAGCTTGTCAGGGCGTTGTTGTTGCCCTTGAAGATGGAACGGAGTTCAACGAGAGATTTCCGGATGGGAAAATAGGATCACCGACACACAGTCGGGGGTTCAGCAGGACCGAGCTGGAGGTGATCCGTCGGTATTAATTCATCAATTCCAGCGATTCAGATAATCGCAGAAGAGGAAGAGGACGATGCCAAGATGACGATCCATTCCAATCCTTCCGGTAGTTCGCCGTCATAAATTCCTTAATTTTTTGGACACTCAGCAGATATGAATCGCCCTGAGAATTTGGACAATCTCGGAGGGCGGAGCGATGCAGATTACCTTGAATCGACAGATGCTATTGAAGGTGAGTTTCAAACACTTTCCGAATCATCCACGAGTCGTTGGTGAACCAGGCGATGAGGAACTAGCATATCTTCCAGAGGTGGAAGCGAGGAATGTGAACGATGTAGCGTATTATTCACGGCAGTCGATGAATGATGTGAGTTATTGACCCGGACGATTTTACCGGAATTTTTCCCTCAGGTTCCAATCGGCGGCTTTCGAGATGATGCAAGGTAATATGATTGCATTGAGGTCTGGTCTAATGCATCTCTCAGTTCTCCAACGGGTGTAGTGACCGAGTCTAGAAGTGACATGATAGGCCACGACGGAGATGCCCCCAAGTACTCCCCTAAAACGTTCAGCGGACTCTTGCGAAATTCGGCCCGGAAGGGCTCTTTTCCTCTCGCACAGCGTGTAACGAGCTTTCGCCCAGTTAGGATCATCTTGCATCCGACCCGATCTCGACACTTCCCATCAGGTGGATTCTCGAGCCGGTCCTCCGAAGCGTCCTGAGGACGTCACTAGACCGGGTGGCGAGGCGACGATGACAGGAATCGGGTCACTAAGATAGCTGCCAGTTGAGATGCACATCCAACAAGCCCCTATTGCTTCGTCAGATGCTTTAAAGCTCTTTTGAGTGTTTTACCCATGTTATTCACGTGTTACCGTATTGCCGCCACACTTTGGGCGACGACAGGATGACGTTAATCGTTGTGATGAGCATTTGGAGTTGCGTTGACCAATCATATAGGGCTTCCAATTTGAATTCTCGCAGCAGAATTGCATTACGTGGGGGTTGTGTTCGACCTGTCTGGCTCTGGACGTTTCTGGGGTTCCCTCTAGTCTAGTGTTAAAAGCGCTGGTTAGGTTTAGTCGTCATAGGCAAGCACTGTTGAGATGTCCGAGGAAGTGATAACGGAGAACAACGTTGTCCCACCGGAAGGGGATGTGGCCAAGGAACTCTATGAGAGAGCTCTGGCAGGGGTAAATTGAATTCAAGTTAAAAGTGTTTTATCGATAGTTATTGGATGTAGTATCGACCGAAACACGGCAAGAGGATAGCAAAGGCTTATCGGGCGAAGGGGGAGGAAAGTAAATCGCGAATACGATGGTTGATGATGCATGGATTTGCAGATGAGGACGCTGAGGTGACCCCGACCGGAGTCCATGATCCAAGTCTCACATACGCCGAGACTACCCTCACGCCGATGCGGGGCATCATGGCCGCTGTCGTAGATAAGGTGAAGTCCGCTATACCGGCATCATGTCGAATTTATTATATTTTCAGGTTGGCGTGGTATCGGGCAGTACGTGTTTTTTGGACATAGGCTCTGGTGTTGGTACGGCTGTGCTCGCGGCCTCATCTTGTCACAAGTTCAGAAAGGCAGTCGGGATCGAGTGTGTGCCACAGCTGGTCGCCAAGTCGAATGAACTCAGAGGTGGGACGTTCATTTCCCACGGCCAGCACTTTTTCCCGAAAACAGATTCGTTTCTTTCGAATCTGCTGCCGCCCAGTGAAGAGGACGGGGAAGCAGCGTGTGAGTCTACAATGCCTGAAGTTACCTCAAATGTGGAGTTCATTGAAGGGGAAGCTTTCGAGGAGATCACCAAGCTCTTGGAGGGTAACCATCTATTAGCATTCAATCTAGTAGTTTTTCAGATGCTTCGGAATTCCTGGATCGCTCCCCGGCACCAGCTGAAGGGTCATCGGAAGAGGCAGAAACACCCGAGGGGGAGGAGGGTTCTGGAAATGATGTCTCTTGCGACGAAGCGGAGGGACAAGTCGTGAAGCCCGAATGCCCACTCATCATTTACTGGCTGAGTAAGCCTCGATTACATTAGTGCAATAGGACTGTTCCCGCAGGCACTTGTTTCAGCGACGACCTTGTGCAAGCGAAGGCAATCTCTCTGGCGAAGACTACCCCCAAGAATACGGTGAGTTACTCCTCTTGATTCGCATCACCCTAGAGAAAATTCAAACGGAGGCGCTCCCAGTACTGAAAATTTTTCGAGTTGCGAAAATTTTATTCGTATTTATTTTGCCTCCGCAGGTCCTTGTTCTGGTGACACACCTACTTCGAAGGGATGCCGCTCTGGCGTGGGGCCTCGAGGCCGAAATTGAAATGGAATTCGACTGGGGTATGGGGACTGTCTTCATGTAGGTCATTCGGGATGCGAAGCTCGCACTGTGAATGTTTTCAGTTATCGCAATGTTAGTGAGGAAAGCCCCAACGAGCAGGTTGACAATAGTTCTTCGTAGAGCATGTAACGTATGATAGCCGCCAGTTGTGAATGTGATTGCTGTTGAGTTATAAGTTATGAATATGACTTGTGACTTTTTGTGAGTCAATTCCCATTGGGGAAGGTCATCCCTGTGAACAACCGAGAGAACACATTTAATGACCTCAATAATAATGATGGGTATCAATGGAGTTTCACCCTGGTGATATGAAAAGCCCTAGCGAAATACATATTTCATGACTACTGCATATCACCGCGAATATCGCGTTTTTCACCGAGTTTTACGCCACTCCACGTAGAACGGGTGAAACTTCAATATATTAGGAATCATAACCAATCACTGGTAGGGGATGAACTCATGAACAAAACACCACTGAGGAGTTCATAGGCAACCACATGTTACACTTCATGTAGGTATTCCATCATTTTGCTTAGCCAGCAAACGACTGATTATCCTCATCGCTTCCTTATTATCCCTATCTATGGAGATCACTTTCCTCAATCGTGCAATCGTTTCCTCTTCTTGGACGCCCAACTTGACAGCCGCTGTTGACCATCTCAACTGTAATTTTGCAAAGAGTTTCCTACGATTAACGCAGACTGGGTGCTTATTGATGAGTGCGCCGTTTCCCATCAAATCAACGAGAGTAGAGTTCTCCTGCGAATTCCTGTCCGCTTCTTGTCGCATCCTCAATGCGCTCTCGAGATCAGCCGCATATCGGCGAGCATCAACAGCGGCCTTCTGTACGGTGGTGTATTCCGACGAAGCGTGTTTGTCGGCCACTTCCCTGATTCGGCCAGGTACTCGAGATGTTACGCTACTCTGGAGCTCCGCGACGGACGATTTAACACTTTCAACCATTTCTTCTGATGGTTTCTTACGGACCTTGATAGATGCAGTTTTTCCTCAGTTTTTCCAACGCTTTTGCATATCTCACCGCGATCCAGTTTTTGTCTTTTCCTGCTGATCTAACCCATTCGAATTCGGGCGGCACTTCAGGTAGATCATCGAAGTCACACCCTGATCAGTGCTGGTCAATTTTCCTCTGGACATTTGCTCACCTTCGCGTTTCATCAACCATTGCGCAGATGTTGGGTCTACGGCGGACTATCAAAATATTCAATCACTCAGTGAATATTAAAATTGTCAATCTAATTCAGTCTCACATCGTTGAAAGTAGGCGGGTCGATCAGGAGCTGATGCAGATGGACTTCATACTTAGGTGGGACCACCGGGTTCATCTGACGCTCTCATCAATGTGATAGCGATTCATGCTCTCTTACACTCGGGATACTCCAAGTCGCCACTAGGGCTTCGTCCACCAACTTCATAGTCTCCTGGTACTCTTCCTGTTGTAACTTGAATTGGCTCAAGTTGGCCAACAAGACTGGGTTACGTCCATGACCTGCTCAATGGTTGTCAATTGCTGATACATCATCCACCTACTCGAGATGAGCTTCTCGTATTTGTCAACGGCCCCAGCGAGGTCCCTCTGTCGATACATGTCATCCCCGGCTTTCTTTTCGGCCCAGACAGTCTCGAATGCTGCCGCTATCTTTTCCTTATCATTTGATAGTCGCTCGCACTCCTCCACTGAGAAGAGAATACCTACGATGGGGTACTACACGGGCATCCACGACAACGCCTGTGACATGAGCGAGCGATCTCCGCAGCTTTCGATGCTGCTTCAGAAGCTATTCTGAATCTCCCGAGCCAAAGGCTAGCCACGGCCAGACGGCTGTAGACCAAGGCCTATACAACAAAGATCAACGGGGGAAATATGCGCGTGTGTAATAAGAAAATCCCGAGAAAATTTTTGTTGGTTTCTGCACATTACCACCAGAATTCGTATATAAACTCCTATGAACTGTGAGAATACTCCTGAGCTGAGCTGAGAGTAAAGATATATCACAGTACTAGTGACATCCACCGCTATTAGCAGGCATGTTTGATTCGTGTTATAGTTCAAGTCTCACTCGTGTTCGCTTAGATTCTTCAGGTTCCATTACCGCACCTCCGACAACTCCTCCAGCCTGATACTTGAGTTGAAGATCTAATGCTGCTAGAGCGTGGCCGCAGTCTTCGCATGCTAGTGATAGTCGACCCGTATACCTTCAAGTGGTGGCTTTTGATGATACTACCACTACAGTCAACCTACATCGCGGCGAGGGCTCGGTTGGCAAAGCACCTTGCACTTGTTGATTGACGCAGAGCTGATGTATAAGCGTTGTATCTGTTTTGATCTGCTTCAGCCGTTGTTTGTACAACCGTGTCACCAATCACCACTGACGGTATTTTTTCTCAAATTATTGATTTTTTTGAACCTATCCTTAAGGAACTTACGCCCCCCTGAAGTCGCCGTTTGCCATCATCTTATCGCCTCGTTCTTTGAGCATCATCGGGGAGTTTTCCTCCACAGCTCCCTCTCCTTGTGATACTCCCATTATGCCAGTACCCTCTATTAAGATGATCATGTAAGATATTATAGTTTTCCTTACCCGCTTTAGGCCGCGGGGCTTCCCTTCCAGGTCGATCACGAGCCGGCACGCCAACCTAGGCATACACCACGTCATTTACCTTTGGAGATTTTTTCACCTGTCGCCTTTTCGAAAACTCTAGCCCTATTTTCACCGACTGCTCGCCTTGATTACGAATCGGTGGTAGAGGAAGCTCCTCCACGGTAGCATGAGGCTTGCCTAGTGTGAAGCCACAAGTTGTGGCCCACAACTCTGTTATTTATCGGTGTTTCAGTTTACTCGACAGTCCTTCAGGTTCTGTACTCAACACTTGCTCAACAACCCTTGCTTCTTGTAAGTCACTCTCAGGCTCGGAGTCTGATTCTTCGTCCAGGATCGCCACATGGTCTTTTACGTTCTTATGGGTCTCCACTTTAGCCAGATCTTCGTACATTTGATTCTCAGCAGCCGTCTTGGCCTACAGGCCAGAACTCCTCATGTGTCTGCAACGGCTTTTTCTCTCCCACGTCGAATCTCTTCTTCTCGAACATTTCTCGACTTTCCCTGTCTTCCTTCCACTGCATCTGTTCGCTATGTTTCACCTGTTCCTGCCTGGTCTTTGCTAGAAAGGACTCATACGTGGCAGGGCAGGGCGTACTTGAGACCGACCTGCTGATTCGATGCGAGTTTTCTCGAAGGTCTCGGCCCGCGCCCTGCTCTCAGCTCGCCTGATTTTCACCTAGAGTGCCGCTTCATAAGGAGGGAATGCTTTTATGGTTCTTCTCACATCCTCTCCAGTGTATTCCAGTTGTCCCCATATCCTAGGAGAACACCTACAGGCCGGAATCTCTGTCCACAGACGCCGACGACTCACTTCGTTAGTTGGACTTGTACCGATGAGCCGTGGATTACGGTAGATGCCGCGGTCATTTCCACTGAGTCTTGCAGATCTATGACTTGCAACTGTCTAGTCGGTGCGTGGTTAATCTTGACGAATAGATCTGGGAGTAGTGTAGGGGGGAATACAATTTTCTCCCAGCACTGAATTCATTGTGTAACTCACCAGCGAGTTCGACATCAAGAGTATGCATCTTTACGCCGATAATTCCTGTGAATGTTATGAAGATCGATCGCAGATCTTCCGACCATTTGTAATCGATATCCCGTGGCATATAGGGGGCAGGTAACCAACTAGTTGATGTCTCCAACAGTCTCAGTTGAATTATCAACGGCTGCAACCCTCCCGACTCAACTCAACCCTCACAACTCTTCGATTTGTGGTGAGTGAGGGCAAACACTCGGGAGGATGCGTGACGTGACTGAACTTTATACCATCTATCCTACGCTTTGTGTGCAGCTCAAGAACGCTGTCCCACGGCTCGAATGAGTTCCAGACTCGTCCACTTCAGCTCTCGTGGGGTGTATAGTGAGTATCTTAGTCGGTGAAACAGAATAGACTTTATCACCCATCGCTCTACTCCAGAGCGATGTCTATACCCGGGTTACGGGTTCAAAATCAAATTGCTGTCATTTTGCAAATAAGTTGACAAACGATACTCTTTGTGTCCCGAAATGTCCCTCAGTTTTGTGATGTTATGATATGAAAGTGAGGCATCTTACATTCCCGTGTGAGCTATAGATTTAATCAATGTTATATTTAGGGAGAAACTCTATCGGAGTTATTTTCATACTTCTGAATTTCAGTTCGAGTTCTCCTAAAATCATGACTTGCCCTTCGACTTGGATATTTATTCGTCACAGCAAATCTCCCAGGCCCGCAGATCCCAGTCCCGAAGCCGACCAGAAGCGGGTGAGTCTCGGCGTCGTTACCTCCTCACAAATCACGAGTTGTGTCGTAGGTGCTCGGCGAAGAAGGCCGGTTGCTTGCCACTAAGGCTCGTTCTAATTACTTCGTAGAGTTTATGGATGATGCACCAAAGTGAGCATCGTACTAGCCCTCTGGTCGTAGACTCACTTCCCCCCTTTCAGGCCTGTCGCTTTCGTATCGTCTCCTGCGGCCCGTTGCTTACAAACAGCCGATGCTATGCTCGGTGGGAAAGGCGAGTTCGAAGGGGATAAAAAGGACAACAGAGCCACTATCGAGGATACTGAATTCATACTCTGCCCGTAGACTGACATTGGCCTCCATCGATATGATATATTTTCTTTCCTCTTCAGTTACATTTGGGAGGGTGTTGTTCAAGCTGAGGACTTCGATGGTCTTTTCAAAAAAATCGGCTACGCTCCGCTCAAGGAGTACCGCAAAACGTAAGCCTTACAATGAACCTCCATTCATGTTCTATATCTTCATCATCAGACCTGAGTCTAAGGCGATTGTAGACAACTACGGTGAGGTTGCTGTTGGAAAGATCTGCGAGATTCTCCCAGAGGAAACAGAAACTGTTGTTGTCTTTGGCCACGCGATGGGACTAGCAGCGATGGCTCTTCAGGTGAGATCAAAGTCGTACACTCAGTTTTTTTAAATTAATGTTGGCTATCTTATTCAGCTCGTTGGTGGATCTTGCCAAGAACTCGAGGACCTTGTCCAGGGGGAGGCCTGTGGGCTCACTGTCCGCAACGGCAAGTTTGCTGGTCAGCTTCTTGCCGACCCGTCACAGTAGGCTACTCTGTGATAGTGAATAATATCCCATCACATTTCGAGTATTGAGATTTCACTTACATTCCTTCTGTACTGTCGTGTTTCTTGGTATTGCAACATCGTGAATGGCGAACCGGGTGTAGTAGGCAGTTTACGTTACAACTTAGCATTGAAAATGCTCTTCTACTGAGCTGATAACATCAAATCGATTACTGCGAATCTGATGAAATCGCCTTATTCAAAATTGGTATATGATAATTTCAACTCGAAAAGGTGGCCTCTTCGGCAGGATTCAACACATACAATTCCATTGTCTATGTTCCAATCCAATGCTGTCGATACTAGCGATGTTCGAAGTGCCTTTTCCTAACATGAACATCAAATTCTGCGGAGAGGTATTCAATCGAGTATCGCTATGGCTAGCAAAATTCCAAATCGCTTGTAAATTCGCGTCACAAACTCGTATACGGTGCTCAGATAAACCGACGGTCCAATGCACCACATGCAATCTCTATGTGATATTAACAGAATAGGAACGCAAGAGCAAAGGTGTGCTGAGAATGAATTGCAGCAGTGTACCGTGCATTAGCTGCATTAGTTGTATTCATGACTAGATCTTATTGAGATCAATTCAAGGTGTCGGGGCCAGACTAGGATGCTTGCTGTGAGTCAGGTGCTTGCGGAGTTCCTAAGTTCCACCAGAAATAACGACTTAAATGATCGAACGCACTCACCGGTTCGATCGCTTTCTTCTGAGCTTCCAATTTGTTTTCCCTTTGGATCAGCCTCGCTCGCCGCGTTCTGATAAACTCACATAAGCATCACAAGGAGAGTCGAAACCTCACTTCAGATCTTCATTCTCCAATTCCATTCGTCTTGCAAATCTCTCCTTCTCCTCCTCCAACTTGGCACGCTCTTTCTCGAACACCTCCACCTTATGCGCCCATATTGCCTCGCGGAGATCGAGATCCTGGGATCGGCCGAAAAATCAACTTTTCCTTTCCCCCTTGCCGAAATCACCTCGTCCGCGCTCCTCGCGTCATCCCAGGATTCGGGTGAATCGTCTCCATCACAATCCCCATTTATCGACGATATGCTTGCTTCGTGCAACCTGGCAAGAGATAGCCGATCTCACAATGAATACTGCGATGACCAACACATAGGGTGTAATTTCGTTTTCAGAGCAATGTTGGAACATATGTTCACTTCCCGGAAAATCCTCACTAATTATAGAAGTTTATATACAAATTCAGGAAGTAGAAATTCACAAAAACCAATAAGGATTCCCTCAGGCTCCATCATAATCTCCAAAACCTGTACTTGACCATGTGCATATGTTGTGTCGGCATTCGACGCCTATCCTCACGACACCCTGGGCGAGCAATGATACTATTGTCTATGGATGATTGGTAGATTCAGTCGAGTAGCCGTAACACCACCATTGTAGTTGGACTTTCCAACACAGTTCACTTCATTCCAAGTGGCATCGACTAACCCATACTGTCCTCAACCCACCTACCCTAAAGTCGCCTCTCTCTGCTCCAGCTCGGCCGCTCGCTCTGTCAAACGTTTGGATGCCTCCTCAGCCGCCGCTTCAGCATTTCCAATCTCCTCCTGAGTAGAACTCACAAGTAACAAGAATAGAGGACGAGTTGTCACTTTCTTTGCTTCTATTTCCTCGAGTATGGTCTCAATCTCCGCAGACTCCCGTTCATACGCCTCCTTCATCTCGTTGAACGCTTTCCTCTGTGAAGCCAGTTGCTCCTCCGCTTCCCTTGAGAAATACTTTCGACATTCCGACACGTAAAACGAGTGTCGAAAAATATGCACACATATGTTGGTGACAATATGGAAATGCTGAGGTAATTTGGAAAGATTATTGTTGACTTCTGTACATTTCTACCCCTATTTGTATATAAACTACTATAACTAGCTACTGATCCCAGCTGAGTAAAGCGAACATATATTCCAACACCGCGTAAAACCTCAGTTAATTACACTAAAGCTTCCTCCCTGCGTGTTAACTCAGTCGCTTCTTCACTTAGCCGTTTTTCCTCCTCCTCAACAGCCACCTGCACACTCCGACAACTCCTCTCTAGTCTGGGCAGACCTCCGTGCTTACTGTACGAGCGTCGATGCCCTCCAGGAGTGACTCTCTCTCTGTGAACTCCAACTCCTTATCATTTTTCTCTTTCTCGAATTTTCCCCTTTCCAAATTGAGACTCTCCTCCACCTCCCTAAAATGATATTCCTATCTATAAGGTGAAGACCGACTATCACTATCAGCTAATTCGGATAAGTTTCTGCTAGGGACAGAGCCAGTGTTATCTACTCACGCAAGTTTCGCCTCCCTCCTGTCCAGTTCGGCTGCATGTTCGTCCAGCCGTTCTTGCTTCTCCTTGACTGCCATCTCAGCTCTCTCGATCTCCTCCTGAGCAAGAGGTTTCCATTTTCATACCACAATTTTGTATAAACATTTCATACATTATTAAAATTATATAATTTCACTTCATACACACATGCCCTACCTCTCTGGCATTGACATTCTCGAGCATCGACTGATTCACCGAATACTCCCGTTTCACAGCCTCGCCCTCCTCCTCCACCTCCTGCCAAGCCAATGACAACTCTTCCTTCGCTTTCCTAACATAAACACCATTCACGACCCTCACTGCGCTCCTGCAATGACAATGGACTCATCCCGCTGTAGTACGCAAGTTCAGCCTCCCTCTCCTCCAACTCAGCAACCTGTTTACTCAACCGAACTCTCTCTTCCTCAATTTCTGCCTCTACCCGAGTCGCGTCCTCCTACGAAAATTCCAATCTCAGGTTCAAACCCCGGCGAGCTCACTTTTCTCGCTTCTATTTCCTCCAACATCGCCTGCATCCTCGCATGCTCTCCTTCATTAGCCTCCCGCTGCCCTCTGATGGCCTTCCTCTCCGCCTCAAGCCTCTCCATCTCAACACTAACACGACTCGATCGAACCTCAGTTTCCGCCCCTATACCGCTCGCGTTACCCCAGGGCAGCCTCTTTGCGTTCAAGCTCGCCGAACTGTTCGTTCAACTGCCGACTAGCCTTGTCAACCTTAGCCCTCGATTCTTCGACTTCCCTCTGAATAAGAATCCCCCTAAGGTCCCTAAGGTTCCTCCTCAGGCTGCCTACCTTCTCCGTTTCAATGGTCCCTAGCATCATCTGCAATCTCATATATTCGTATTGATTCTCATCGGAAATTTTCTGCTGCTCTTGCGACAATGCGTCATTCGCTTCCCTAAGAAGATGCGATTACTTGCTCTCCTCTCACGAGCCTTTATACATCCAACAAACACCTCACATTCACACGATTCTCAAGGTCAACAAAATCACCCGATTGAGCTCATACCCCACCTCAATGAGATTTCCTTCTGCTCCACTTCAACGGCCCGCTCGTTAATTCGTTTCTGAGCTTCCTCAATAGCCAATCGCATGTTCTCTATTTCCTCCTGGGGTATGCCAAATACCAACTTCCACCAAATTCTCAGCATGCTTACCCTCTCCGACCTCGCACTCTCCATAAGTGAGCTAATCGCCGCCTTCTCGCGCTCATCAGCTTGCCTTTCCTCCTCGACTGCTTGCAGGGATCGTCTGACACAACACAGGTCACCTATTCATTTCCGTTTGCTATTGCCACTCTAGTGCGATCGCTTTCTTCTCAAGTGCCGCCTTCTCCTCTTCGATTTCGCGTCGAGCTTCCTCAATAGTAACTTCAACTCTATCAAGTTCCTCCTGGGCAGCAGCACCTCCGTAGCAGCGACACACTGCATGCTTCTCTCACCTTCCTAGCTTTGATGTTATCCAATATAGATGATTTAATAGAATGCTCCCGCCTCTCCGCCTCCTTCTCTAGAGCCAGCTTTTCCCTCTCTGACTTCAGTTCCCCTCTTGCATCCCTGAGCCACCCCGTTATGATACTGTGTGAAAGACCAAGACCTCGACAAACGCCATAAAACTTACGCCAACGCAGCCTCTCTACGTTCAAGTTCAATGGCCTGTTCCTTGACTTGAGCTCGGAGTTCCCCGAGATCCGCCTCTGATTCCTCCAGCTCCTTCTGAACAGCAATAGCAGCAGTACTCTCCGAACTACTATGACCATCCCCGGCAGCTACTCACCCTCCTAAACTCGATATCAACCAGAATAGACTCGTTCGTCAAGCGCTGCTGCTCAGCAATGTCCTTCTCCTCACCGAACGCCTCTCTCTCCGATTCAAGTTCCTCCTTAGCCTCACTGACAGCACTCCAATACGATCAACTACTTTTCTACCAACATCATACACAAGCATTGCCTCTCTATGCTCCAACTCCTCCGATCGCACATTGACCCTCTCAGTAACTTCCTCAACAGCTGCCTCCGATTCCTTCACTCTTTCCTGCGATCAGCCACTCAAGGAGACTAACACTGAGAACTGCCCACCTCCCTCTCCTCCATCTCCTCCAAAAGTGCTTCAACTCGCGAGTATTCACGCTGGTTGACTTCACGCTCCACACGGAGTTTCTCCTCCTCTGCTGAAAACTCCTCCCTCGCCGCCCTTACAAAAAACACCATCTCTAGCTGAGACATTTCCTTGCTATCTATCTCAGTACACTACACTAGCGCTGCCTCCCGACATTCCATTTCAGCAACCCGTCCCTCGAGCCGCTCAGAAGCTGCCTCAACATTCGCTTCCGCGGCTATCACTTCTTCCTGAATCACATATCAAAAAAGCCATTGTAATCACCGTAAATGCCCACCCTCCTTGCTTCCACTTCTCGCGAGAGGGTTCGAGCTTCCGCATGTTCACGTTCCACCGCCTCCCTCTCCCTCTCCAGAGCCTCTCTCTCTGCTACTAGAGACCCTTCGGAAACTCTACCATATCATTACCATCAGTAGAATACGTCCAGTACCAGAGTATTACGCAACCGCCTCCTCTCTGCTTCCCAGCTCTGCCATTCTTTCTTCGATGCGTTTACTTTCTTCCTGCAAAGCCATTTCTGCGATTCCGATTTTCTCCTGTGCAGGAAAGACCATGAAGAAAATCACACCACCACGATGTGAATGCTCACTTTCATAGTTTCAATCGCCGCAACCCTAGCCCGTATCTCTGCATTCTGTCGCTCATTCTCCTTCCTCTCTACTGCAAGCACCTCCCTTTCCTCCTCAAGTGCCAATTTCGTACACCTACCACGATTTCACCACCACCCAACGGGAAAAAATTCTACTACGCTAGCTCAGCCCTCGTCTGCTCCAACTCGCTCGACTCTTCGT